GCGCAAATTTGGGCGCCGAAATTCAGGAGGCTTTGAAGCAGCAGAAGGTGGAGAAAGAGGGGGGCCTGCTCGGCGGAGTGGCGGAGGAGATCAAGGAGATCGAATGGCCGGCGTTTCGAAAGGTTTTGGGTACGACGGGGGTGGTGATCGGCGTTATCGCTGGGTCTAGTGTCGTTTTGCTCACTGTAAATGCCTTRTTAGCGGAGCTGTCCGACCGAGTTTTTSCCGGAAAAGGAGTTCAGGATTTCTTCAGCTGAGAGGATAATATGAAAGAGGCTTCAATTGAGATGTGAACTTTGTAATTTTTCGAAATTCCAATGGGTTCTAATGGAAGAGACTGCTTTGTAATTTCGTGTTAATAAGGTAGAAAGATTGAGGAAACTTATGTCATAATCAAATCTCTATTTGAGGTCTAAACTAATGAATTCAGAAGAGAGAATCTAGAACTTGAGAATTTTTTTCAATGAGTTCACAACGCTGAAAAATCTGCTCCCATTCAATTTCTTCCCTCAAAATCTATATACCACATAAGACCTGGAATCTTCCTATTGAACTGAAAGTTCTCAAACAAAATTTCACACGAACACGATGATAGAAGAGCAGTGAACCATCCGGATGAAACAAAAAAGTTTAGCACTACAAGAATATGATCAGGAGTTGTAGATGGTGTYGGGTTTAAGTGTCACCTGCAGGGCCAACAAGGACTCCTTGGGCTGCGCCTTCTTTCCGCCCGCTGTCTTCCTCCTTAGCCTCACCATCAGGCTTTCTAATCCTGATCTTGTATTTGGCCTCCAAGTCCGCAATTTCCTTCTTCTTCTTCTCCAGCCCTTCATTGAGTCTGGAAACGACCTCCTCGATTCCCTCTTTGTTTCGTTTAACAGCAGGCAGGACCTCTTTGATAGTTCTTTCCACCAGCACTCCCCCAATCATTCTGTAGCATCTTCTTGATGGGTCAAGTGGCTCAATTGCAGAAATGACCAGAGAGTGCTCACTCACTTCCATTTCAAGTTCTGTGATTTTTGAGTATATCTGATTGAGCTCGGACTTTAAAGCACCGTACATGTTCGCAATAACTTGTTCGTTCACTGGTTCCTTGCGATCACTCTCACTTGAGCTTGCCATTTTGATCTGTAAAGTGGTTAGAAACTTGGTAAAACGATGTGAAGAAGAGTGCAAAACCATCACCTTAAATATAACACAGAAAGACGAATGACTTTTTACATCCATCCACATGAAATATCTATGAAAAATACAAGTCCGAACTCCAGAAAATCTAGCGTGAGTTGGTGTATCTATGTAGTTCATGGAAAAGGACAGATTGCTCTGCATTGCAAGGAATATGGCTTTGTCATGGAAGATGGGGTGGTCTCATTCGTCAGCAAGATAGAGGGTGAGGAGGGTAGGCAGGAGTTTTCTTAAACCAACAGTATACGAGTGGCTCTACGTGAGTATAGTTGCACCTCACCCTTCATTTTAAACGACTAACAACACTTCCAAGAGTTTTGAATTCTAGAAACCGAACTGTTTGCCACCGAAAAACAAAATCAATAATATAACGACAATTATAAATAAGATCGTGTAAGAGAATAATAATCTATAACAATATTATTTAGATGTTCGTATATCAGAAAGTTGTCTTACATCAAAAAGGCAACTTCAATGATATTCATCCGCCTATGCTAATGGTGGACTTCCAACTTTTCTGGGTCTCTTTTGCTGCTTAATCTTTACCTTCACATTCATTCCATTATCAATTACAGACTGAAGCACAATTTGAAGCTTCCCTTCTATCCTCTCGAACTTTCTTGGAGTGTAAACCAAATTGTGGATATCATCTGCCAGTGCTCTCTGGGCCAAAACAGCCCCCACAGCAGCACAGGCAGAGGAATCCTTCCTTGAAGTCAGGTCAAATTTCATATCCTTAGAAATTGAATGTGCCACAGCAACAACCTTACTAGTCACTCGGTGAATGATGCAAGCACGAACTGAAGCCTTTGATATGTATATATCTAGACAAAATGGCTCATGGTAAGGACCAGTGAGCTGATTAAAAGTGGGCGTCCTGAGCTTCTTCTCAACGTCATCATTATCCCTTTCAACTATGACATATTTGTTCTTCACATGTTCAGGAAGCTTTACATAGCCACTTGCCAAACAATTATCGGGTTTATCATTGATTCTGCTTCTGCTTTGCTTCTGATCTTCCTTTATAGATTTTTTCTTCCKATGAAAATCAAAGCTATATTCTTCAAACTCTTTGGAACCCCGGTCAAGTTTATAGAATAGATTCCCACGTATTCTCATGTTGTCAATATCATCAAGATCTGAATCACAATAATCAACTGGGTCATGATCCTCTTCCTCTAAGAAGTATTTATTTTCCAAGCCAGACCAGGCCTTCTCTCTCCCTTCCCATGCTCCTGCTAAACCACATGAAACTGCCCAAGTATCATCATCTACAAGTTCAACATCATAGGCACCTGATTGAGGTTTGTCATCAGGGAACAATGGAGATAGCTGATGCCTGAATGAACCATTTGCTATGCCATCTGAACGAGATACCCTTTCATTCTCGCTTCCAAGGATTCCCTTGGGCAATGCTTTTGAGCAAAAGCTGCAGCCCCTTAAAAAAAAGTGAGGGCTAATAAATGCAAACCCTCTCCTTAAGAACATGAAGCCCCTTTAAACCTCTGAACAACCACAGATCCCAACCACCTATTTACATGGATATTGTACGCCTATGACAAAAGAACAAAAATACAACCCACAGTGAATGAATCAACTCATAGAAGCAAAGCATCTAATAGTTGGCGTGCATGATTGATATTGTAAACTTGTMCGATTAAGTTTCTGCTATTGAACTTGTGCTAGCACAGAATTTGATGTAGGAGTGAACTTGTAAACTATCTTAGTTACTATAATCGTATCTACATTTGTAATCAGGGTGGATTGGTTTAATCCAAGTTCGTCCTAAACTTTCTCTGCCCATTTCAGCAATAGTGGTCAGAACTTGAAACCCAGTGGTGAAAGTCGACCAAGCAWAAGAAATGGCCACAGCTAATGCCCAGTAAAGATATCCCTCAAAGCAAGCAAAGAAACTGACTTCACAATCTGTAAAGACTTCCTTCCTGCTCCCGATGCTTCAGTTCATCATTCATAATTGCGATTCATGTGAAGGTAAAAAAAATTAAGCATCAAAGGAAAACCAGGAAATCTGGAAGTCCACTTGTAGCATAGACGAATGAAGACCGGAGTTGACTTTTCGATGTAAGAMAACTTAACATATAAATACCCTTCAGTGTTTAATTTGAAAACAAGCAAGCACCAAACAGCAAAACCATAGTCTGAAAATCACCACTACCTCATCCCCCAACTACTAGTAATTTACCGACAAATCATTGTAACAATAACGTAATTTCATTGAATCGAGACAAAAATAATATTAAGCGCGGAAAGGAAAGGAGAGTACAAAAAACGGACTACGCTACGTTCAACCACAGTTTAGAAACTCAGAACAATTTCAAGCTAAAAACCGTCCCATCATTTATTATAATTATAATTCATAATACTACAAACAGGCRCCTGAGATTCTAATTTCAGAGAGAAAGTATAACGAAACTACAGATACTCAGACAGTTGTGAACTGAGCCATAGGTTCGCTAGTACGCAGAAATACAGAAAAACGGAGGCCAAATTTCAAAATAAAAGCAAATTCTCCATAGCACTGCTAGCGAGCTTTTAGCAAAGAACTTATAGACCAACAACAGGCAYTTCGGTTTCGAACTCGGCAGTCCTAATACTATACTTGGACACAAATGATTCAATACAATAGAATAAATCCCTAATCCTTCCGAGTAGAGTATATAGTCCAGAATTTACTCAAAATAAAAACGGATTGCAAAACCTAATCTCAGTCGGAGCCGCAAGCAAAACAGGCATACGATCCGCAAAGAAAATAAAAAGCTCGATCGCAAACTTGAAAGTTGTAATAAAAATAAGGCAGAAAGAGATGAACAGAAAACGAAGCGTACTTGATCGGCGCCGCTAATCAGTGCTCGGAGTGAAGCCAATCCGGCAGCGATTCGAAGAGGCGAGGACTGAACGACGACGCAAGCTGCGAGAGTGCGAGTAGCGAAGCAGAAGGGGGGAGAAAGGTCAAATAAGGAAATTGAATTGGGTCATACAGGGAGTTGCCTTATTTCTCGAGGGTAGTTTGGGAATTGAACTACGCTTGTTAGACATTAATAAAAATGAAAATGAAACAATATTTTGTTCTCTTTAAAATATTCCTCTCTCTATTTTAGGTCGTTATTATAATTTAGATGTATAGCAAATTCTTCATTTATTCATTTGAATTCTTCGACGTCGGAAAATAATATTTCAATAATTCATTAAAAAACTAGTTGTTTACAAAAATAAATATTTCCTTCGTATAATTATATATGTTTATGCAAAAAAAAAAAAAAAAAAATAATTCATTAAAAAACTAGTTGTTTACAAAAATAAATATTTCCTTCGTATAATTATATATGTTTATGCAAAAAAAAAAAAAAAAAAAAATTGCACAAGGTTTGACGTGGTTATGGTCGGATGCCAGTTAACTCGAACTACTTCGGAATGACCTGCACAAGAGGGCAAAAAGCAGTTCAGATTGAATAACAAAATCGATGAGAAATTCGATACCTAAGATAAGAATGAGATCCTCTATTTATAGGCGCAGAGTCCAACAAACCTCACGACCGGTGGTTATTCTTGTCGAGTCACAGGTTGAACCTGGGTTGTTCAGATCAAACCGTCTAATAAGCTTGCAAATCATAATGGTCGAGTCTCTCACCTCGACAGGTTCGAGGTGGAGCTRCCACCTTGAATGATTCTTCTGTGGGAGAATCAACGTCGTTCGACAATTTCATCTCCCAAACAATATATATTTTGAATTGTGTACCTAAACGAAGTCCATAACTCCATGGATAATTTCAATACTCTTACTTCCCGATTTTAAATAATTGGGGTTGGGGATATATGCAAATAAAATTCATTATTCTCTCATTTTAATCACCGAATTCATAAAATTTTTGGGTTAACCTATGAATAATAACATTAAAAGAGAACCCAAAAGACATTAGAGGTGAGGTCAAGATCAATAATGCACTATTCATCTTTATTCTCGAAATTAAAGAGAAAATGGTATTCTTACCTCCAACCTTGTCTCTAAAGAATTTTCACTATGTCTCCCAAATGAATATTGTCCTTCTTAAAAAAAAGTCAACATTGAATGTGAGAACTATATAAAACTCAAGTGTTTACCAACGATTGAGAYGAAGCATAAAGGAAAAGAAAATAAATAGTTGTCAAATTTGTAAAGRCAACAAGTAGACTATGCTTATTTATTGGTAAGCAACAAATCCAAATAGTATCCTAATTTTGTACTCATTATGAATATAATAAAAKTTAGATGCTTATCAGGTATCTTATACTTAGCACCACTAAAAATGACACTAAGTTAGATGAATGCATAAATAGAATAAATAACCATCAATTTTTTAATGCTGGTAGATAAGTACTTACACATCGGTAAACACCTAAATTATGTAAATGAATAATTTCAAAGTACTTTTGTAGGATGTTTAGGGGAGATTGAACAATATTTCAAGTTAAATACTTTTCAATTTTTTATGATATTTAGTTATTTAACAAAAAWAATTATTACAAAGTATTTACTCTACATTTAATAGATATATCAAGCTATCAAGAAAACGCCCTATTGATTCTAGGTAAATCTTTTAATTAAACAAATTATAAAGTTATTATTATTTTGTGGTTGGATATGGAGATAGATACATTAAGCTATGCTAAAAAATGCAATTTTTTTTTTTAAAAACCAAAGCCACGAGGGTAGAATATATTGGCAAATAAATTATTTTTATAAAGTTTAGATTTCTCAAAGAAAAAAAAGTTTTATAAAGTTTAGTTTGGCAAATTACATCAAGGAAAAAGCACAATAACAAATCCTTATCCCTTTACAACGCCCTCGAAGCCACAGCCACAACCTCACAAATCACATTTCATTTCGTCCCCAAGCAGAGAGACGAAAAGGGTAGCCATGGCAACTCTTCATTTTGTTCCATCCGCTTTCTCTCCACTAAAACAAAAGCAACCCACAAAGCTTTCCTCTGTTTTCAAGCTCAGACCCACAACCCAGATCGGCTTACGGCGGCGGTTGCTCGTCCGATCGTACAAAGTGGTGATTGAGCACGAGGGGCAGAGCACCGAGCTGGAGGTTGAAGACGACGAGAGCATATTGAGCAGCGCATTGGATTCTGGCTTGTCCGTGCCCCACGATTGCAAGCTTGGTGTGTGCATGACTTGCCCTGCTCGCCTTGTCAGCGGCGCCGTCGATCAGAGCGAAGGAATGCTCAGCGATGATGTTGTGGAGCGCGGCTATGCGCTTCTCTGTGTGGCTTATCCCCGCTCCGACTGCCACATTAAGACCATCCCTGAGGAGGAGTTACTGGCCCTTCAATTAGCCACAGCTAATGACTGAAAATCTCAGTTCTTCCTTACTTACTTCCTTCGTTTTGGATGATTTTGTAGATTTAGTCTTGCTTTAAACTTTATGGAAACAACCCATTCTGGAATGTTGTTCTCTTCATACGTTATTCCAGAATTCCTGTCAGTTGTAACTTGTAAGAAGCAAGGGGCTGATTTAAGCGGCCTAATGAAAATCGAGGAATTAATTGTCAAATGATGCATATTGTTCAAAGATGCAACCCATTTCTCCATCCAAAGATTCCAATTGTTGAAAATTTAATGATTTCTCCATCCAAAGCTCAATCTGAGTTCTTGGTGATTTACTTCCTTCGTTTTGAATGATTTGTAGATTTAATCCTGGGATTAGTTTAACTATATGGAAAATGACCATTCTGAAATGTTGTTCCTCTTGGTGTTTGGTCGTTTGGGTTCAAATTATGCATAGTGTTAAAATGTCCAATCCATTTCTCCATCCAAAACCTACAAACGAATAACCAAGAACAATAACACAAATGATGCCATGTTGTTTCTCTGAGTTCTCTGAGCCTCTGATTTTGGATGATTTTGTAGATTTGGTCTTGGTTTAATTTAAATACATGAAATCCAACCATTATGGAATGTTGTTTCTCCTGGGATTTGGTTATTTGGGTTTAATAATAACCTTTTGATTCATTATTTCAACCATTGGTAAGAACAGGATGCAAGTAACTACTCTTAGAATAATGAAAATAAAGGAATTATTTATCAAATGGTGTACATGGTTCAAAGATCCAACCCATTTCTCCATTAAAGCTTCCCAAAGTTAAGCATTGGCACATATATACAGATAACATTTTGATTCTGACCATAAATCTTTCTCTAGATCATATCAATTAAAAACACTTGCCTTTGTGCAGGGAACATTAAATGGCAAGCAAATAAAGGAGGTAAGTAGAAAACTTAGATGTTAAGTTGTATAGAAAATTGACTTACATCAAAAAGGCAACTTCATAATCTCCCAGCTTTCCTTGCTCTCTTTTGCTGCTTGATCTTTACCTTCACATTACTCGCCCATTATCAATGACAGACTGAAGCACAACTTTAAGCTTCCCTTCTATCCTCTCTGAGTCAAATCAACTCCCACAGCAGCACAGGCAGAGGAATCCTTCCTTGAAGTCAGGACCAATTTTATGTCCTTAGAAATTGAATGTTCCACAGCAACGACGACCTCGCTAGTCACTCGGTGAATAACGCAAGCACAAACCGAGGCATTCGATATGATTAAATGTGGGTGTCCTGAGCTTCTTCTCAACATTGCTGTCCTCCCTTTCACGTATTCCATGTTTGTTCTTCACACGTTCAAGAAGCTTTACATGGCCATTAGCCAAACTATGATATCGGGTTCATCATTGATTTTGCTTCTGCCGGAAAACACACCACATACAACCATTCCAACATATCATGGTCTGAGTACGTCCCTATTGGCACCAAGCTCGTAAATTTTTTTTAATAGTTAGGCACATACAAACGATATGCATGATAAAGTTCGACATAAATCTTGACACAAATCATAAATGGAGCAGAGTATTTTGATCGAGCTCAATAGGTTGACTACATCTATTTGACTTCCAAATCAAAGAAAATAGATCATGAACCTATAGTTACAGATCGTGTGTTTTAACAAGTTGAGTTATGTCGGGTTTGACATATATATTATAGTTTTAGTTTCAAGCTTTATCTTTTTTCTTTCTTTTTTTTTTCGAGCTTTATCTTTATGGTTTACGGAGGATCTAAGTTAAATATGGAATAATGAATATCTATTGGTATAAAGTACTAATTTATTATTAAGTCCAGATCAAGATTCAAGAGTCAGAGACAGAGTATTTTTCGTCGGATTGCGGAAAGCATCTGCAGAATTTATTCCATCGCATGCACACTCCACATATACGAAAAAGAAAAATTATTGTTGATTTATTATATTTAGATATTTATATAGTCATATGTTTTATTTTAATAGTTTTAGTCACTTTTAAAATATTCATTTTTAGTTTCCTTGCAAAAAGGAAAACAGATGTAAATTTCCAAAAGGCGGAAACGACGAGAAGTAGAACAAAATTACAATAATTGCGTCAGCGGAGCGCTTTGATTGGCTATGGAGTCTCAGATATTCTTCCGAATAATGGTTTTTTAAATCAGTCCTCTGTGCCCGAGGCCATACTCTAGTTTCTCTTCTCTTCTTCTACGTTGCTCCGGCGTCCTCCTGCGTCTCTGTGCGCAAAAATGGAAGCCACCGCCGTCAGCTCAGACAGTAGACCGACGATCATGGTCACCAACGACGATGGAATCGATGCGCCCGGTCTTCGCGCTCTGGTTCGCGTCCTCGTCTCAACTCAGCTCTACAATGTTCAAGTCTGCGCTCCTGATTCGTACGCCTCTTATCCTCTTTCTCCTCCTGCTCTTCCTGTTCCAATTTGCGTGCGCTGCCGGCTGAAACTTATGATTATGATCTGTGTTTCAGATACGTGCGTTTTAGTTTGTGAAATTTTGTTCATACGTCTGTTCTGTTTGCTGGTTCTAATTTGACTGATCGCTAGTGCACTTAGAGTTCTTTTATCATTTTGCTAGTGATTATGCTAACTTCTTTCTTTTAGAATGTCGATGGCCATCGGATCGCGTGATTTGAGATATAAGCAGCTGTTTTCTTCTGTACAGTTTTCTTATTTATTAGTCAATATTATAAGATTGGGTTGTAGGTCCCGAATTATTAGCTTCATTTTGTTTTATTTGATAATTGTTATTATTATTATTATTATGACGTTGTGGGGGGTTGTTTTTGCAGGGAAAAATCAGCTGTTAGCCAATCTATTACTTGGCGTCATCCTGTTTCTGTTAAGAAAGTCGCTATTGAAGGAACAACTTCTTATGCTGTTTCTGGTCTGTCTTCTATTCCTCTCTTTTGAAATCTTTAATTTCGTTTGAACTAGTGCACACTGCAGATTTTGTTGTGCCTTTGAGTTTAGTTCTAGGAGTTGGTAGGAAGAATGTATTTGGATATCGATGATAAATGAATTCACTTGCTGGTGAAAGATTTAACTTTCTCTCCTCAACTTGAATGGCAGCAGGGTTTCTGACATCCTTGTTTTCAAATGCTTTATCTTTTACAAGAAACTTAAATAGACTGTTCACTTCTCAGCTATTCTACCTCACCTGGAAATGTTTAGTTCGTTGGAGGTTCTGGGAAAAATAATTCTTTAATAGGCCTATAACCCCAAGCCCCTGATGGTTAGTTCGTGGAAGTGTCTACTTTCTTATGTTCTACGTATAAACACAATGTTGGTGCTCGTGACAATGCTATGAAGCTATAGTAGTGTGGCAGAGTAAGGGAGAGTTAAAACCTTTACAGTAATTATGCTCAAATGGGGCCTTACCAATATATTAGGACCATTAATGTACATTAAGATATTTGCTATAGTCCAATGTCCAATTACTTGTCTCTTCCTCCAATATTTGTTTTATTTTCACTTTTACTGAATGTATTTAACTTGAAGCTTTGGGGTTGTAATGAAATGGACTGAAATGATCTGCCATGCACTCTCCCTCCTTGAGACATAATGTTGAAGTATTTCTCGTTTTCATCAAAACCAATTATCATTGACTTGAACTTCAACCTAGCTGATGCCCGATATTGCTTCTAGTGACTAACGAGGTTTTAAGCTTTTGTGCTTCTGTAGGAACTCCAGCCGATTGTACTTCTTTGGGAATATCCAAAGCTCTCTTTCCTTCAATTCCTGATCTGGTAGTTCTCTTTTCGTTTAGTGCATGGTTTGGCTGTAGCCTGTAGTATATTTTTTTTTCATATAGAGCTATTTCTATTTGTGCTTTGTTCACTTTAATTTATTTGACGTGTGGATAAGCTGACAAGAAGTTAGGATTTATAATGACACAAGAAATGTCTTTTCAACCCAGATGTGTATCTGTAATTGTAAATGTAGATTATTTTGTCAAACAACTACTTTATGTTGGATGGTCACTCTTCTCACAATGTTATCACTAATGAAGTTGGTGCATACAACTTGTAATCTGTTTAGCTCTTCTTGCCTATTTATGAATTGTACTTTTAATTGCAGGTAGTCAGTGGCATAAACATGGGTAGCAACTGCGGTTATCACGTGTTAGTGACTAATCTTGACAGATTTGCCCTTATATTGAACTATTTTGACAGCTTAACTATYAATGGGCACTGAAGTATCAAATATGTGCTCAGCATGCGTATTTACATGCCCATAGTATTGGCAAGAAAAGTTTGCACTTAAAGTATCAACTTGTGTGGAACCCATTAAAGCTTTCATACTTATTTGTCTAGCAAGTAAAATGAGAGCTATCTGTGCGTGGTTGGAAATGATTTTTTAACTTTKTTGATTCAGTCTTTCATTTAAACTGCAGTGTATATTCTGGAACGGTAGCTGGTGCTCGAGAAGCCTTTTTTAATGGCATTCCTTCTATTTCTTTATCTTATGAGTGGTATGTAGAAAGGTTTCCTTTATTGCTAGACTTAATCATGTAATTGTTACGTAATAACTAATATCTATTGGGATAGATTCCCTTTTTTCTCTTTTCTTTTTTTTTTCCCAAAAGAAAGGTTCCAAAGTGTTGAGCAGAAGATTGTCTGTGATCTTGGTTAAAATTTTGTTGATCATCTTAATTATCACTCTAAAAGTATATCTCATTATTATAGGTTGTATTATTAGTCTTTACTCATTTGAATTTTCTTGTTATGGAGCTTCAGGGTTGGGGGTAGGAGCAATATAAATGACTACACACTCGCTGCTGAGGCTTGCTTGCCCATAATAAGTGCAATGTTAGCTGATGCCAAGGCTCAAACTTTTCCACGAAGTTGTTTCTTGAATATTGATTTTCCAACAGATATTGCTAACCATAGGGTAATAAATATTATAACACCTAGTGAACATCTTGTGCCATCTTGAATTGAGATGTGCTCTAGAAAGTATTATGTTGACTGCTTATTCTACTTCCATGTTATGAAAGAGGTGGGGTAACAGTAATACTGGTGGATGTTTTTTTCCTTGTACATTATTTAGGGGTATAAGGTAACCAAACAAGGTCGATGCATGTACAAAATGGGTTGGAGAAGAGTTGCTTCTGATTCTCAAGGAGGTAAAATGTTGTCAACAATGACGATGGAGCCAGCAGCATCAGTAGCGGAATGTTATATGACAAATGAATCATCTGAACTGTTTACGAGGCAGGTTGGTACTCTTCTCCTCCCTCCTCCAAATTCTATAATTCAAGAAACCCATTAATTCCTTCTATTCTATCTATCGGGATCAATTATCAATTCTAGTTTAGAAATGCTATTGGAAGTTAGCCTCTGGTTGCTTATCTATTATTGAAAATGAAGGACCATAAAATAAAACATGGTTGTCATGTTCACTTTATTTCTCCCTAACGACACCCTTGTCCTCGAGKGTGAAATTCGAGGATGATTCTTTGATATCTTCACCTCAAAATGCTGCACTGAATTCCTTGAATGTATGCAAGAGTTTCTCTTAACCCAACAACATGAAAGGGCTCCGTTATGCATTCAGAAAACATTGCTTCACTATTAAGTTGAGGTCTACAGTTTTGTCTTCTGTTGTAAGTGGTCCAAATATTGCAAACCTGTATCTAGACGAAAAATGTAAAGGAAAATGAACTTGTAGGAGGGAGGTTTAACCTCCAAATTAGCCAATTAGAGAAACTCTAACTTCCCAATAGTTAATACAGAGAGTGCAACAATAAAAATTTCCGTACTTATCTATTCATTTCATCATTATGAATGGAAATCTCTAGAACACTGGGACTGTTCTGTTCTAGATTGCTCATTCTCTGCAACATTTAACCATCAGGTTGCACCCATTTGCATTCTCAGTTGGAATTATTTTATTTTGGATAATTTGATGACTCTTTTATTTAACCATTCCTAGCTTTGCGTCACTCAGAATGTTATATTTGTAAATGTTAACTTTAAGTTATTATCTTTGTAGGTAATAGGTGCACCTGTTGATGACGAAGATACAGATTTCAAATATCTACGAGAAGGCTACGTGTGTATCATTCTCTTTAGAAAATTAACATGTTTTTGTACTAGAAAATAGAAATTATTACAGAAGATATTATCATCATTAATTAGAAGCTCGTGATTCCATTTCAGATTACCGTCACTCCTCTTGCTGCTCTGTCTCGTGCAGATATAGAATGCCAAAACTTTTTGGAAGCTTGGTTGCCTGGTGTGGCTGCTCAGCCGTCTCCATCTGCTTTATAATTCCGTAAGGTTTCTGGTTAAAGTTCTATGAACTTCCTTCGTTTCATTTTGTTTAAATACCAATAAGAAGATAGACGATAAACACATAGGAGCCGTACAGCCTCAGCTCATGAGTCGTAATTATCTTTTCCCTTCCCCAATCAATAGAAATATTTAGTCCATGTCCATATTATTATTGCGTGAAGCTCATTATCCTTTCTGCTTCCTCAACGGTGCAGACGTTTTAGGCAGCTAGTCTGCAACCAATTTATAACTTCTGCAGTACCCTTATGTTCAACTATAATTTATGTTGAACTCCAGACATGGTATCTAAATTTGGTTAAAATAATGTTGGCAGTCTCAGTATTCTGTTTATCAGTCTTGAATGAACAGTAGTTTTTTCTGTGGGGACTTGACTTGACTTAAATGAAAACTCGATAACTTGCACGTGCTCTGCAGGAACCATAACAGATCTGATGATCTATTCTATTGAAGGATAGTACAACATGAGTGTTCATTCAAGGTTCTTTCCACTCTACTGCTGAACAAAACATTACCAAAACAAGTGTTACTCAAAATTTTCCGTTTTATTCTTTCCAGGTTTCAGCATTTTGTTAGAAGATCAAACCTCGAGCGGAGTAGGGTTTCTTATTTACTATCATTTGTTTCGTGCTGCCAGAGAGCGCAGGTAACTGTGTCATGAAGAAATATAGGTCCCGACYGATGAACTGTTACTGTTGACTGATTCTTTTAAAACATTCACTCAATTGTGACACAAACTTGAAGAAAGGGTCTAATATTCTTATGATTGTTGTTTAGTTCCAGTAAGGTGTATAGTTATTTGCTCTGGTTTCTTGTTATTATTACAAATCTTTGTGAGTTGTGACTTGAAAAGTAACAGAGAGAGAGTCAAATTAGAATTATTGATGAAAATATTAGAGAGAATTTGTTGCTCCATGGAAGATGGTATAAACTATATGAGATGTTAGAGTCATGAAGGTTTTAGGTACCCATTTATTGAGTTAGAGTGAGATAGTTCCTACACTCTAAGAATGTCTTAGGAAATAAATGTTTGGTTCAGGTTAAATTTTATGATTGGAATCATGTTTAGGAAATAAATTTGGTTATTCCAAAGATTACTGATCCATAGGCTACATAAATTCAAATTTATGAATTCATTTTGTTCTACAAACTAACTTCTATAAAGTCAGTAACAAAAATGTTACTCAAGGTCCGGTCTTTTTAGGTTTTTTTTTTTTTTGGTAAAATACACTTTTTTTTTCTTGAATTTTGAGTTCAGWTGCAATTCGGCGCGTAGATTTTAAAATGTTACACTTTTGCCATTTATTTTTAAACTTAGTTTTGATTTGGTCCTTAGTTATCAAAGTTACACTTGTATCCTTAAATTTTGAGTTTAGTTTTCATTTGGTCATTTAAGTTTCAAAATGTTAAAATTTTTACTTAACTTACTTTTGGTTTTTGACAATAGAACCGTTAGTAACCCTAATAAAATACTAACTAGGATATTGTCGGATCTATTTAATATTAATTTATATTATTTATATGCTTAGGTGGTAAAGATATTTTTATAATATTTCAAAAGGTGACGTGGTAGAAAAAATAATTAAAAAATTATCCTCAGCAGACCACCCAACAAAATGTTGACTAATTTTATTTAATTATTTTTTTATCATCACCTATTAAAATATTGTAAAAAGAATGTTTTGGGGCGGGTGCAGGTGCCCGTGGATATAGGGGAGCAAAGATCCGACTCTTAATCATATTATATATATATTAAATGGACCATATAATAATATCCTAATCAGCATTTTGTTAGGGTTACTAAGATGTTAACATTTTGAAACCTAAAGACCAAATGAAAACTAAATTCAAAACTCAGGGATAAAAGTGCCACATTTTGAAATCTTAAGACTAAATAGAAACTAAATTCAAAAATTAAGGATATAAATGTAACATTTTGAAAATTAGGGATCAAATATAAACTAAATTAAAAGTTTTTTTTTTTTGTCAAAGCAAGCATAGTTCAACCCACGTGTTGTACTAAAAAAAAAAAGGTTATTTTTCCTAATTTTTTCATACAATTCAAACTTTAAGCTTTAGTAAAATTGTGAGCCAAAATGTTCAGGTCTCTTGTTGGGAACATCTATTATTTCCAAGATTTGGATTAGTAAACAACCTTACCATATATTGAAGCAAATACTACTTTTTCAGATCTAAGGGATTTTATCACACCATTTCAGTTCTAATTTAAGATTATTATTTCAAACCCCAAGATTCATCATTCAAAGCCCCTCTACATCATTTCTCATTTCATTTTTTTCCCCTTGCAAATTTCTATAAATGGCAAACAAAGTCTCTTTTGAGTTATTTCCACAGGTTTACAAAGAAAAAAATAATTAAAAATTGGACCATTATTCTAATATCAATTAAAATTCATGGCATGGTATTTATTTATTTATTTTAGTATATCTTAGAAAGAGCACCTTTAAGTTGTCCCATCTCTATTCTAAAGTTTTCTCATGTCATTTTCAGAATCAACCTTTCAAATATAAAATTCAGAATTCAACTTACCCTCAACTGCTGAAATGGACAAAGCAACACAAAAATTTAGCATAAGAGGAAAAAGAAAAGAAAAAAAAAGGAAAATGGGGAAGAGAAACTTTTATTTTTCTGGGCATTCTTCATTCCTTTTTTTCCTCGAGTAAAGCATTATAAATATTATATGTACATTACTGAGAAACAGTGTGTTTTGTTGGATGAAACCTTCATTGTTTTGGTGGCAATGGAGCATGTGATTCCACTAGAATTGACCAGAGCACATGGACATCTTCACAGGGGCAGGATTTGACATCCTCATACAGAATATATATCCCTCTTCCTGCATTAAATAACCCCAAAAAGAAAAAAGAAAACYTGAACTTCAAATTCAAATTCAAATGGTGTTGAAGAGATTCTTTTCTGCATGATTTGCCAGTGAAAACCCAGAAAGAGAGGGAAAATGGGTTGTTCAAGTTTTGAAAATGGTGGCATTGCACAGGGAAAAATGAAGCAAATGCAGGCTACATTCAAAAAACAGAGAGGAGACAGAGAAAGAGWGCGAAATCGAGTTCGAGAACGGGGAAGTAACTTACGTTTTTTGGGCGAAGAATGGAGGCGAAACCAGAGCTTCTTCAATGGGGAGAAGAGGGATTGGAGCCACCCCATTTGGAGAAGAGAAGTCCCTCAGCTCATTCAGAGGAAAAAAATAAGAACAGAGGATTTCTCTTTGTTTTGTTTTGTTCTTTTTGCTTCTTTTGGTGCTTAGGTAATGGGGATTTTGTTGAACAAATCATGCATTTCCTCATATGATTCTTGGTAAAATGTCTTTTTCAGGCACTTTTTTTCCTTGTACTAGAA